TGCTCAGCTTATTTAGATGACATCTTGATATTTTTCTCAAGAAGCTTACAGGAGCATCATGAGCATGTACAAAATATGCTTATGTGTCTACAGAAAGCAGGCCTGCAGGCAGACATCAGAAAGAGTGAGTTTAAGATGAACAGCACAAAATATCTTGAATTCATCATTGAAGCAGGCAAGAGTATATAAATGAATTCAGAGAAGGTTAAAGTTATTTTGGAATGAGTGACACCTACTACTCTTAAAAGTGTACAAGGATTTTTAGGCTTTGCCAATTTCTATAGACAATTTATCAGGGATTTCTCAAAGATTGTGATCTCACTGATGATTCTTACATGCAAGAATATTTCTTTTTGATAGACAAGCAAGGCTGAGAAAGCTTTTAAGTATCTAAAATCAATATTTATCTCTGCTTCAATTCTGCTTCAATTCAACTCTGATTGTGAGACTATATTAGAAATAGACTTCTCAGATTATGTCTCAGGAGGAGTGCTGCTATAATATGATGAGCAGAGTATTCTACACTCATGTATCTTCTTCTCTCACAAGCATTCACCTGCGGAATGCAACTATGAGATTCATGATAAGAAGTTATTAACAATAATTAAGTGTTTAAAGAAATGAGATGCTGAGCTACAAAGTGTAAAGAAATTCAAGATTCTTACAGATCATAAGAATCTAGAATACTTCATGACTACACACAGACTAAATGAAAAACAGCTATATTGAATGAATATTCTCTATCAATTCAACTTTAGAATTGATTATTAGTCAGAGAAGTTGAACACTGAACCAGATAATCTATCATAAAGAAAGTAGAACATGTCACAGAGCACTGATGATGAGAGAATCAAGCAGAGACAAGCTCAACTACTTAAGTTTAATATACTGGCACCTGGAATGGAATCAAGAGTGATCACTGCCAGTGTAGAATCTGAGATGTCTCTTCAAGCTTAGTGAAATGAGACTTACAAAAATGACAAGATTCTGCAGCATCTGAAGCAGACTCTTCATGAGAAAAGATTTAGATTTTCTTCTGAACTCAGCATTAAGATCTCCATCTCTGAGTGCTCTTTAAATGAGAACAGAGAGCTTCTCTTTCAAGGTCATAAGTGAGTGTTAGACTTCAAACCTCTTCAAATCAGATTAGTGTATGAGGCTCATGACTCATCTCTTACTGATCATCCTGGGTGAGAGCAAACAGCAGAAGTTCTAAGATGTAAGTTTTACTGATCAGACTATGCCACTGATATGAGAAGAATGATCAGAAACTGTCATCTTTGCAGATCAAACACTGCATGAAGAGATCAACATCAGAGACTGCTTAAGCCTCTCCTCATTTCTGAACACATGTGGCAGGAGCTTTTCATGAACTTTATTGTGAACTTATCAAGCTCTAAAGAATACATGAACATCATGAGTATAATAAACAGACTGATCAAGAGAATTATATTAAATTAAAAGCAGTTAAGAAAACTGATGTAAAGACAGTGACTAGAGTATTTCTTCACAACATCATCTCTCAACATGACATCTCTAAAGTGATAGTGTCAGATCAAAGATCAGCTTTCACAAGCATGTTTTGAACTTGAGTGTATGAGAAATTAGACATTAAGAGATGACTCTTCACAGTCTATTACTCAGAGACTGACAGAGCTACAGAGTGAATGAATCAGATTTTGAAAATCTATCTACACAAGTACATTAGCTTTCAACAGGATGACTGATGTGAATGACTTTCTCTAGCAGAGCTGATCATCAATAATAGAGATACTGTCTCAATAGATATGAGCTTATTCTTTTTAACACATCTTTTCCACATCTTCTTCATTGATATAGCTGATGCACCCTCTGTTGAAACATCATATAATCTCATTGAGTTTGCAGATGATTATATGAGGAAGACTTGTGAAGTATTGAAGTGAACTCAAGTAAAAATGACAGATGCTCAGCAATTTCAATAGAACTATGTGAATAGATAAAGAGACTTAGCTTCAAGCTTTCAACCTGAAGATAAAATCTGATTGAGCTTAGAGAACATGAGAACTAATCACTCATGCAAGAAGCTGAACATGAAATACAATCAATATACTGTGTTAGAAAAGATAGAGTTTCATGCTTACTGACTGAATGTCTTACTCAGCATTCACAATGTCTTTAATGTAAAGCTTCTACATGTAGTGACAATGAATTCCTTACCTAGTCAGAGGCAAATCAACTGACAGCCATCTGCTATAGAGACCTCAGAAGGACCTGAGTTTGAGATTAAGAAAATTTAAGATGAATGAATCTATCAGAGGAAAAAGCAAAACCTTGTTAAATAAGTAGATTGAGCTGAGTCTACATGAAATGATGTGAGTCTCCTACAAGAAGTGAAGACTTTAAACACTTGAGAGACCTCTCAGCAGGCAAAATTAAGTATAAAAAGAGCTTTAAATAGTTATAAAGGCCTGTAACAAAGAGGGAGAAGAGAGGTATTATAAGAAGCTGAATTTCTAAATTCACTCTGACTGACTGACTCAGCCTAGTCATCATTTGCATGTGTGCACATGATCATACTATGTGAGCTTGCTTAAGCTTGTGTTCTCATCTTATTCTTTTCTTCTCTTTCCCAAGCAATTTATCCTTGTTATATAATAGGACTAGTCTCTAGTTCTTAGAGCTTAACCCACTACATGTGAGTGCTGTAGAGAAAAGAGAATAGTGATGAATGAAATGTATATGTAGAATTGAATAGTAGCTAATCATTGAATCTCTTGAAGAAACTTTGAGAATTCAGAGTGTTTATATATATAAATAAGTAGTAATAGATTTTATCTCTAATCTTTTATGAAATAGGAAATTAGCAATATAATAATCTAAATCTTCATAAAGTGCTGATTCTATCCTTCAGGAAGTACTAATGTTAAAGAACTAATTTTTGAGAAGTGTTTATTTGTGCTGATTTTAAATGCTGAATTTTGAGATAATGTTGATTCTCTAGAAGGTGCTGATTTTAAAGTACTTTGATAAGCAGTATGATAAGCAGTGTGAGGACAAGAAGCTAGTATAGAAAGTCTTGGCATCACAAGTCTTCTGAAAGATTTAAAACAAAAGTTAACAAAAATTCTCAAAGGTTTTTCATTTAAAAAACCTGCTTTAAAAAAAGTAAGAAAGTTATATATCTTAATAATATATCACAGCTTCAATCTAGATGCAGATGAAACAGATGTTTGATTGTCAATTAGATAAACTATCTGAGTGAATACTAAGATGATTTCTAAAAAATGAGTTTGAGAAGGGCTCTATTTATATAGTTCTTTTCTTAGTACTTTTCTTACTGCAGTTGTTATGTGATTATCACATTTACATATTATTTATATATTAGGTAATTGTGAAGTTGATTGCTATATCAATGTCTAGATAATTTGTGATTATCATTTATCTCAGCAGCTGTAACTACTGTTCACCTTGATCTTATGCTATTGATAAGGCTATAGAGCTTATTCTATGTCATTATATCTTGAGTCTATAATCTACAGATATTAGATATATAGATTTTAGATTATATACTTTTTAATTTTTACAGATATCTTTTCTACTATGTCTAAATGAGCAGACTTTGATAAAAATAATGTAGAGAAGAACTTGATAATGACTGAAAGAAAATGAAAATAAACAGATTTTTTAAAAAGGTTAAATATATCTTTTCTCAATATTGATTTAATAAAAACTTTTAAAAATTATATAAATTGTTTTAAATTAATTAATCTCTTATTCATTCATTTTTTAAACTATTTATATTAAATGTTGTGAGTAAATGATGAAAATTATTAATAAATATTTATTTTTTTAAAAAAATATATTTTTAATAATTATTTTCTCAATTCTTATTTAAATATAATAAAAATTGAAAAACTAATTAATTTTAATAATAGCTTTTAAATAAAAATAATTTTTGAATCAAAATTCTAAAAATTAACTAAGTTTTAAAAAAAATATTATTAATATATTATTTTTAATAATATTATAATTATTAATTGAATATATCTTTAATAATAATAATAATAATATTTTTATATTTTTATTTTTTATATAAAATACTTTTTAATAATTATTTTTATTATTTAATTATTTAATATTTTTATATTAACTTTATATAAATTTTAAAATTAAATAAAAAAATTTTTGATAATTAAAATTATTAAATTATTTATTAATTATAATATTTTAAAAATATAATTAAATAAATTTAAAGTATAATAAATTTATTATTAATTAATAATTTTAATAATTTTTAAGTATAAAAGCTAAAATTATTAAAGAAAATAAAAAGAAAAATATATAAAAAATTAAGTAATTATAAAGTTAAATAATATAATTATAAAAGTATTAAATTAATTATTTTAATTATTTTCTTAATATATATACTATGAAAAAACTTCTTATTTTTCTTTTAAGCAATCATATATTTTTTATTTTTAAGAAATTTCATTTATTATATAAATATTTATAAAAAAAGTTTTAACTTCTGTCCTCGTCAATGTAGCTCTTCAAGCTCAATTTTCTCATTATTTAAATGAGACAAATGATTTCTTATTATTTTACAGCTGATTTCAATGGTTCGCTTGGGAATTGCATTCAGTTAACTTGTTAGTTAACCATGGGAAGGCGCTGCGATTCTAAGCCTGTGAAGCGAGACCGAAGGGAGATGCAGTTAGACCGTTGTTTACTTTGGGGCTTGGCGCGTGTATATCAGTGGTCATAGTTCAGGCACTTGTAACGTTAGCGAGGGATTATATGGGGTGAAGACTGAATGAAGCCTGGTGTTTGGCGTTGGATATCGAGGCGGGTTGGAAAGCAGGGCGGGGGTAACATTGTGTAATTGGTTGGTTGGGATATTTTATACAGGAGATGTGGAGTATGAAGGTGGAGTGATTATATTGATTTGGCCGAAGTTTTGATCTATATGGAGCCATTTGCTGGATGAAGGTTCAAAGGCCACCACTTCTATTGACATAATGAAGCAGAAAGTCGCTGTCCGCAGAACAAACTCGAGAAGTGAGGAGGTGGGTGGGGTGGAAGAGTATATTACATGGATTGCTTGCCTGCTCTTCTTTTGCGTGCTTCCTTTTGTCGTGGTAGATTGAACCGGGTGAGATATCTAGCATGGTCTGGTCTATTCAACAAACGAAAAGATAAAATAAAACAAAATGAGACAAATAATATAACAACATAGTATGTAAAACAAATGGTGTGGGAGTGAGGGCAATTGTCGGAATTGCAAACAGGAAGTACAGGACGGAGGATAGACGGGCGGTGGTGATGGTGGCAGAGAACTAAAAAGTCACTCGAACGACACGCCAACGAACCTACCTAGCCACTCCCCCACCATAAGGTCAGGCCGGGGTTCAGCCAGGAACCAGCCACCAGACATGCACGTATGTACTGGTGGCATATATGTACGGAGCATGGATGGATTATTATTGATGGATCGATGGGATGGATGTAGGCACGGTTTGTCGAAGATAAGAGCACGACGCCACTATAAAAGAAGGGTTGCCGTCTGGAAACTTGTTCCAATTATCGGAAAGATGGCGCGGATGTGGATTCGTATTGCTGGCTTCCTCCATAGAGGTCGTGTCAACGAGTGCAAGGTGGTGCGGGAGAGGGTGCGAGATTGGGCAAATATGGTCATTTTGGTCGGGTTGTTGCCTATGGAAAGTCACCGCGACACCAAGGAATAAGTGAAATGTCTGATCTCTCCGTTTTAATATTATAGTTGTGTGGAGCAACGGTGGCCTGGCTGCTTGCTTGTGTGTCCCCTCTCCTTTTCGCTTTTTCCGTGGGAGGCGTGTCAATACACTTATGACATGCATGTACAAATCCCTCCCCAGCAATAAGTGTCCAGAGAAAGGAATGAATATTGTGTTCCTCTACTTTCCTAAAGTCCTTCTCTTCAACTCCAATGCCGCCATTAAGACTTTATTTTATATGAACGTATGCCACGTGGTGGATAGGTGGGACGGATAAAGGCATATCATATCATATATCACGGGCATGGGTATGGGTATGTGATTGGAGGGGTATAAGAGCATTTCCCGTCTCCCCATCGTAAGAAACTCAAACCATTGGGGGAAGAGACAAAAATTTTACAAAGTTCCAGACAAGCACGTCTGCAACTGGGTGAAAAGAAAGAAAAAGAGAAACGGGAGCTTGATGAATCGATTCAATAATTCACCCGCCCCATTTCACCCACAAGCAACATCCGACGTCGTCGCATCCTCCATCTGCCCTTGCTTACCCTTTCCCTTGCCAGCTCGCGCACTTCTCGCGGCAGAAGCAGAAGCGGTATTGGCATTAGAGGTAGCAGCAGACGTAGCAGTAGACGCAGCAGCAGACGATGAGGACCCCTCATCTTCATATAGGTGATGTTTCTCAATGTAGTCAATGACAGGGCTGGGGATGAGATATCGTACGCTCATCTCGCGGCGGAGAAAGAGGCGGATCTTGGTGCTGCTCACGTCGTTTTGAATCAGCTGCTGAATGACGTAGATGTTCTCTTTCCAGGGTTGGAGGCTGGCGATGGCTTCGTCGATGTCTGTGCCAGCACGTTCGACGATGAAGGTCTGTGACGCAGCATTACATTTACAAGTTATTTACAAGTTAGTTAATGAGGTTGGTGTATTAAATGCTTAGGGGAGAGCAATTGATGAGAGGGAAAAGGCACATACCCCGTATTGTCCAAGTATATGATCTAGATCCTTTTCACTCCACACTCCTGGTGTAGACATGGTATGGATGAGGTCAGCACCGGCGAGGAGGGCAACGTGCACTGGCCTGCGCGTGCCGTTGCCGGTATCAATCCCCCCCAGGACCTGGTTGATGTAATAGTCGAAGTGGTCGAGAACTACTGCGGTGGGGATGTATTCTTTCTGCATGGGCTCCCATGGATCCACCATGAGCCAGTTCGATGTCTTTTCTACTGCTAGTTGGCACATGGCGACTCTGGGGCGATGGCATCACTGTTAGTCGAAAAGTTCTTGTCTGGGGTCGAGTTTCAATCAATCACTCAATTTATCCCGATCCGCATGGAGAGTAGAAAAATAAAAATAAAGTAAGTAAATAAAAAATTAAATATAGAAATAGAAAGTGGGAAAAAAAAAAAAAAAGAAAAAAAAAACACGTAAAAATACACACCTGTGCACTGCACTGGCCAAGCCAGCCTTCTTATAGGCATCCGACACAGGCGACAGATAGCCGCCAATCAACTCAAAGTCCGTGCTAAACTTGACGTAGTCCGCAGCCATCTCGAACATGCGCAGATGCAGGTATGTTGTTGGGGAGAAAGAGCCACAGGCCACAAGCAAGAGCGGGGTTTTGGAGGGATCAGACATGACATTTTTCAGTCTGTGGTTGGGAAATGTGTAGGAATCAGGGTCCATGGGCGGTATGGAGGTTGTGATTGAGGAGGTGGTGGAGGAGGTGGTGCTGCAGAAGTCATCCGGGACGCTGGAGAGCAAGTAGTCCGTGGCGTCTACCATTGTGGCGACGATTTTTCTTTCGGAGTGAGGGGAAGTTTGATGGTTGAATGACGAGGTGCGGTGAGAGGGGAGAGGGGAGAGGGAGAGTCGCGGGAGAATGCGTGATTCGATCCCGGAAGGGGGAAATTGACAGATATGGGATATATATATTTGTTAGGACATGAATGTTTGGAATGTATAAAGTGGACGAAGGGCAAAAAGATCGTAGATCGGATGAGGGTTGTCCGGAGAACGGATATGAGTAAGAGAGGGGAGAGAAGCGGATTTATGAGAGAAATTTGGTCTGCCTGCTTTTCTGGTCTGGGCTTCCCAGTAGTCTGCCGAAGGATGAAATAATGGGGGTGGTAATGGGTGGGGAGGAATGTAACGGGAGACTGCGGATTGTGAGCTAGCGATGGTGGTTTGAAGATGGTTGCGAAAGAGGAGGCGGGCTGGTTGGAGAAGCTGTTCGGGCGATGGTTGACAGAGGATGAGTGCGGGTGCTTCGAAGGTTGACGATTACTGATTAGCTACGGGGAAAGGCGGGATTTAACTTGGAAGCCGAAGCAGGCAACAAAGTCAATGGGGGTAGCATGTACTCCGTAAAACTACAAGAGAATGAATGCAATGGGCGGGTTGGATCTTGAAACACAAAGAGGGCGACTAAATTTCCTGTATTTGTTTTTCAACTTTTTTTGGAAATCTCATCCTTAGGACAACCCCAGGGCAGTGTGCATCCGTTGGGTTGACTATTATTCTATAACTAAATCCTCCTCTTGTTTATATCCTCAACTAAAAAATTTCAAGTACTCTCCTCAATGTTTTAGAATTGCGGGTAAGCAATAACTGACTAACTTTACCTAGTTAGTAGATACGGTAGTTAGCATGATGACATGATGATGATGTATGACTTCGCAGGGATAACCACCGAGGTGCAAGGCATCCAAGGCATTCTCCGGATGCCCTGATTGCTTGATTGCTTGATTGATTGGTTGGCTGGGAACTGACTGCTTCTAGAATTATCTAATAATTCTCGTCTATTAACTAGTTAACTACCCGTTAGTCAATTGGTCAACTGGTCAACGGATCATCTGTGAGCTAGGAGGAATCTCTAGCTATTTGGTGACACGTAAATAAATAAATATATATATATATATATATATATATAGACAAACTTCTCAACATCATCTGCAGAGACGCCGCTGCAGTGCTGCCCACACTAACACAGAGTTTGCGCGTTGAGTCGGGTGGCTGGGTGGGTTTTGAAGACAAATCCTGGAGTTTTTTGTTATTATTATTATTATTATTATTATTATTATTATTTTATTTTCAATCGTTTCACTCAGTTAAAAAGTTTTTAACTATTACTCTGCAGTTAACTAGTTAATTAGTTAATTAGCTAATAACTAAAGTAATTAATGTAATTCCACACTGCCACCCAGCAAATTCACTGTATCTCAACTAGATAGTTTTTAATTCAAATTATCTCAACACAACAAAGCTTAATTAAATTAAATTAAATTACACTTGGTTGAGAACATCTTAGTCTTGTATGCTCAAGCATTTCACAATTGCTGCATCTTCATGATGCTTGTATATGTGCTGCGGGCTCAGCAGCTGAAGACTTGATGAATTGAATAATTAACTGTTCAACAGGCTCTGCAGGCTCTATAGAGCCTACTAGAAGACTTTGAACTTCTTCACTAGTTAAACCTTCTACTTCCTGCCCAATTTGATGCCTAGATCTCTTGTGCTTTTGCTTTTCTATCTCATTGATGTTGAATATATTCTGATATTACTTCTTTATAATTGTGGCACTGACTATTTTATATTCACAGATCTTGATAATTTGATCAAAATCTTTCATAAAGCCTTGAGGCTGACCCTTCACTAAGTCATTGATCTTATTCACCTGCCAGTATAATTGCTGGGGATTACTAGGTATTTAAAGCATTCAGAACATGGTTGAATTGCTAGAGCTGCTGCATAAGAGAGGTAAAGATTCATAGTTGAATATTTAACTGCTGAAGAATATAGTCAAACTGAAAAAGCATTATTTTAGTTATTTTGAAGTTATTTTAAATAGTCTGAGGTTTGAAGACTGCAGTATATATTGCAAAATAAATATCTAGAAAATCTATCTTCTAAATGATATTAAATTCAAGCTGCATTCACTGCTAAACTAAATCTTCATATACTTACTTTAAAACTGAAAAAATATCTATATCTAGTGACTGCAGAAGGTGAGAGGAATAATATAGTATGCAAAAACATATTATAATATTATTCTTACAGATTTGATAAAATTCTGAAGTAAAATGATTGCTGTATCTGTTTAGAATAAAAAGAATAAATCTGTCAACTCTGTGAGAATCTGCTGCTGAAATAAATATCTGTTGAAGTCATTTCAGATCTATTTCATCAGTAGTTTAGTAATTTCAACTGACATCTAGTCTCCAGTCTTCTGGAAAATCTTTTAACTAATTTTTCAATAAGCGCTAGCCTTTGAGGATGAGATAGAAAAGTAGAGCTCATTCTGACACATTGATTAATTCAATTACAGTCACTCATTCACAGTTTTTAGGCTGTAGAAGCTTTACTCTGCTATAGTACTCACTACTAATAATTATTTTAGTAGTGACACAGAGCTTCATAGCAAAATTAAACTCATTAAAGTTGTATATATTCTCTGATACAATTTCATGCTTAGCAATTATATCTTCTAAGATCTTAAATCAATTCTTTATAATATGCTGATTTTCACACTTGACTCAGTTATGATTATAGTGTCTGAAATAGTAGCTTTGAAGCTTTATATAATATTTAATTAGTCTTGAAATCTAGTTCTTACTGATTTAAGAGGGAGAGATAGTAGAGATAATAAAATTCTATAATATAAGAAGATAATTAGTAATATTTTCAACAAATATTAGCTGAGAAAAAAATTCTTATTTAACTTAATTCAGTACTTATTCAACTAGACTATTTTCTTCAGCAGCAGATAATTTGTGAGAGTTTGTGTGTAAATATATTTATGAAAACTAATACTTGAGATAATTTTGAAAAGTAAATTTAAACATATTAAATAGCTTTGCAGCTTCATAAATTGAGAATTTTTCATTATTTTGAAGAGATTTTATTATGAGTTCAATTTTTCTTTCTTGTTTAACTGAATTTGAAGAGTTGTTTTTGTATTTTAATAGCATAATTATATGTTAAATTAA